GGGGGGGGGGGTCAAATTGACCCCTCCCCAGCGGGAATAGGGTTAAAAAATAAATTTTTCTCAGATTTGTTTGTTTAATTTGGTGCATTTTCAAAAATAATATATGTCACAACTTTTTTCTTGGTAAAATCTTTCAAATTTGTTCTCCCATAAACTTTGCCTGGTCCCCAGGGCATGCAAGTAGCTATTATGCAAATAAAACGAGATTATCATTTCAGAAAGAGTTTAAATAAACTGACTGAACAAAAATAATCCGAACTCAATCCATACCAAAAATATGATTATAAATTTTATAAATTAAAGTGTAAATTGATTACTTTTAATAGTTAATTTACAAAATGAAATAAATTGCATTCATTGAGGTTCATTTTCAGTTAAGTCTGCAAACTTTTGTTTGGATAATTAATTATTAATAATTAATTAATGAATTTGTTTGAAATCTCATCATTACTTGTTTTTGTGCTTCCTTTCATTCTTCCTTTCATTCTTCCTTTCATTCTTTCATTCATTCTTCCTTTCATTCTTCCTTTCATTCTTTCATTCTTCCTTTCATTCTTCCTTTCATTCTTCCTTTCATTATTTCATTCTTCCTTTCATTCTTCCTTTCATTCTTCCTTTCATTCTTCCTTTCATTCTTTCATTCTTCCTTTCATTTTTCCTTTCATTCTTCCTTTTATTCTTTCTTTCATTCCTCCTTTCATTCTTCCTTTCATTCTTCCTTTCATTCCTCCTTTCATTCTTCCTTTCATTCTTTCATTCTTCCTTTCATTCTTCCTTTTATTTTTCCTTTTATTCTTCCTTTCATTCTTCCTTTCATTCTTCCTTTCATTCTTCCTTTTATGCTATACATTATCAAGTTTTCAATTTGCAATATAGTAAACTAAATTAAAATAAAAAGTATTGAACTTTTGTTGGTTTTTAAACTTTTAAACTGTTTTAGCTGTTTAAAGATCCAGCTATTTCAAATGAACCAATTAAATGATTCCGATTTATGCAATGGCATCCGTTAAACTTTTATCTGATCAATATTTTGGCAGATATCGTCGTTTTTTTAAGCTGAAAAACTGTTTGAATCTGACGATTTCCTCTATTGTTTCTCAGACGGAAATGCAAAAACCACTTTTTGCAATATAGAGAAAGCACAATAAAATATAAATAAATAAATAAAATATAAATAAATAAATAAAATATAAATAAATAAATAAAATATAAATGAATAAATATCTCATGCATTCTTGACTAGACAAAGCTGGTAAGGGTACCTGTAAGGGTACCACCTGTTGTGAATCGGACATGCAACTTTGTAAAATTACGTTTCAAGTCCCATTAACGAATGAAAACTTATAAAATCCCAAGTCCTAATATTTGTGAAATGTTTGTGTTCCTAATAAAAGTATTCGAAATCAAACTTTTGATATAAATCATATTTTCAGAGAAAGTTCGAAACTCCCTTTTATCGAAAAAGACCGGATTTCAATCTGGGGCTGGAGTTTTGGAGGATTTCTTGTTCCAAAAATAATAGCAAAAAATAACAGGTACAAAAAATCCGCGAAATTATTTTTTTTTGTGAAAACCTAATCTTTCTACATTTAGAATTTGATTTGTGTATTCTTTTCCTAAACTTCATAAACTATAATAATAATAATAAGAAATTATACTTGAATTGAATTTTCCATTTTGTCACATTCAAGATGTGGTTCAGATATTGATACTGATCATTGTTCCAGGATTTTGTCATAATTCTTTAATTTATCAATAGATTTCTATGAAACTTTGACCCAGAGCATTTTTTATAAAAATAATTGATTTTAGAAGAACTTTTTATTGTTCACTTTTATTGTCTGTTCACTTTTCAAAATATTTTTAAACATGAAACAAATAAAAACAATTTCTGCTTCTCTTAAAATATGTTAAAATATGTTAAATATGTTAAAATGTGTTAAAATATGTTAAAATATGTTAAAATATGTTAAAATATTTTAAAATATGTTAGGAGAAAGTTTAGATTTCCAGTTTTCTTTACTTCTCATTTCCTTTGAAAAGGATGCATGCCTGTAATTGCATTTAAACCTTGTGCAAAACTGATTCAAACACCTTTTCTAACAAATAAATTTTTTACATTAGAAATAAAATTTCTATGATTATGTAAAAATATGGAATAGGAAGACGACATTGTGCAACTTAATTAAAGCCTAAATGAGCCATACATCGAAAGAATTTATCTAATGTCGTCTTAACAATTTTTCAATGGGTTTTATATTATTTTACGTAAATCTCAATATTTGCGAAAATAAATAAATAGACATGAATTTTCGGGAACAGTTTTAAAGAGCTTATTATAATCATTTAATTAAAAAAACTAAATGTCTGCAACATTCCATTATCAGAAAGTTAAAAATACGACATTTGATGAATTGTTCCGATGTAAGGCTATTTATGGTTTAACTGTAGTTATAAAGAAAAAAATGTTACCATAACCAACATGCATGATGTAACACGACTTTTTTTCAAGAATTTTAATATTAGATATCATGGTCTATTTAAAATATGTAGAAGCCCGTAAATTTACTAGTTAAACAAATGTTAAAAATGAAATGATAAAAAACAACTAAAAAAAATTTAAAAATAGGATATTTGATCAAGATGAATTAAAATGGCAAGCGATAACATGTGACGCAGTTGTTTTGATTTTAAATAGCAGACCTTTTAAAAATATGTAGAAGCACGTAAGATGTTTTTGAAACAATTGTTAAACAAATATTGAAAATTAATTGAAGTACATATCTACATGATACAAAATAATTTAATGACAATTTGAAACTAGAATATATTTGGTCATGGTGACATAAAATCCTAAAAGAATGAACAAACAGACAGAAAACCCTCTCCAGTATATTTCGTGAAAAGTGTATAAGGATCAAGTGAAAGCTATGATATAGTGAATATATATTAAATATGGCTGGAACATAGATTTTCCTTATAGCTTAAGCTATCATAAAAAGATGTAAATAGTAAATACCGCCAAACTGAACAAATAAACGAAGTTAACAGGGTTAAATAAACGTTGCTACGTATATGAATTAAGTTTTTATCTAGTATTCTAGCATTCTACTATTCTAGTATTCTAGTATTCTTGTATTCTAGTATTTTACTATTTTAGTATTCTAGTATTCCATTATTCTAGTATTATAGTATTATAGTATTATAGTATTCTGGTATCCTAGTATCCTAGTATTCTAGTATTCTAGTATTCTAATATTCTATTATTCTGGTATTCTAGTATTCTAGTATTCTAGTATTCTAGTATTCTAGTATTCTAGTATTCTAGTATTCTAGTATTCTGGTATCCTAGTATCCTAGTATTCTAGTACTCTAGTACTCTAGTATTCTAATATTCTATTATTCTGGTATTCTAGTATTCTAGTATTCTAGTATTCTAGTATTCTAGTATTCTAGTATTCTAGTATTCCATTATTCTAGTATTATAGTATTATAGTATTATAGTATTCTAGTATCCTAGTATCCTAGTATTCTAGTATTCTAGTATTCTAATATTCTATTATTCTGGTATTCTAGTATTCTAGTATTCTAGTATTCTAGTCTTCTAGTCTTCTAGTATTCTGGTATTCTGGTATTCTGGTATTCTGGTATTCTGGTATTCTGGTATTCTGGTATTCTGGTATTCTAGAACTAGTATTCTAGTATTCTAGTATTCCAGTATTCCAGTATTCCAGTATTCCAGTATTCCAGTATTCCAGTATTCCAGTATTCCAGTATTCCAGTATTCCAGTATTCTAGTATTCTAGTATTCTAGTATTCCAGTATTCCAGTATTCCAGTATTCCAGTATTCCAGTATTCCAGTATTCCAGTATTCCAGTATTCTAGTATTCTAGTATTCTAGTATTCTAGTATTCTAGTATTCTAGTATCTATCTATTTCTAGATTTGGACTGAACTTGATAAAGTCTGGGATAGCTGTATCACCTGTGGCTAAGTGGCAGTATTATGGTAGGTTTAACAATTTATCTTATACATCTTGCTTCTCACATTTTCATCTTGTTTAAAGGGAAAGTATTCAAATTACCTTAATCTTTTTATTATAGATTCTATGCACAGGCAAAGGTACATTTGTACTCCGACATCAGCTGATATATCTTTGTATTCTAGATAATGGGTACACGGAGAGGTACATGTGTACTCTAGCATATTAGCTGATATATTCTTGTATTCTAGATTATGTGTACACGGAAAGGTACATGTGTACTCTAGCATCAGCTGATATATTCTTGTATTCTAGATTATGTGTACACGGAAAGGTACATGTGTACTCCGACATCAGCTGATATATCCTTGCATTCTAGATTCTGTGTACACAGAGAGTTGTGTGTAATAAATGTTGGGTGAGGGAGGGGGTGTAGAGGCGCCATGATCCCCGCAAAAATGATCTCCGAGCAGAGACAGAATGGCGGGAGGCTTGGTGACGTCACTGAGGCTGGGAGACCAGTTTTGCGGGGCTTGGAGGTAATTCTGCAAATCCTGAGGCTCGGGGGTCATTTTTGCGGGGATCATGGCGCCTCTGCACCCCCTCCCTCGTTGGGTAAACATGATATTCTGTGAACCTGCAGTATGTCGTAGTACATAATTAGATATCTATGTTTGTTAACTTGTACGTAAAACCCATTTTTCATTGACACTGTGTTTTAATTGAATGCGTAGCATGATGAGCTTAAATCATGTGATACGTCTAATGAGGTACATCTTTGATTACAGTGTAGAGTAATTTGGTTTTCGTTGAAACATACAAATTGATTGCTATTATCCTGTTGAAAAAACTACAATCGTTGCCTTGAATTTAGGCTTGATCTATAGACCGCTATTGTCCAGTTACATAGCAAATGAGATCACACGCATTGATGGTGGCTTTGATAGTTCACGGGATTTTAGTCGTATGGATAGTGTCCTGTTTGAGACATTGATCAATAGATCGCTATTGTCCTTGTTGACATAGCAAACAAGATCCCGCCCAGTGGTAGTGGCAATAATAGTTCACGGGATTGTAGCCGAGTGGATCATTCCTGTTTGCGACATTTATCATTTGATTGCTAGTGTCCATATTGACACTGATAGCATAACAGGATCGTGCCCTTTGATTTGGCATTGATAGTTACGAGCTTCCGATTAATATTGATAGCTAACGAGATTGTATCTGGGTTTAAACATTGATAGCTAAGTGAAACTGAACTGTACCCGGATAGGTACTGGTTCTAGTAATTGTTATGGAGTAGGTGTTTCCTACATGTGTACTCCAACATCAGTTGATATATCCTTGTTTTCTAGATAATGTGTACACGGAAAGGTACATGTTTACTCTAGCATCAGCTGGTATATTCTTGTATTCTAGATTATGTGTACAAGGAGAGGTACATGTGTACTCCATCATCAGCTGATATATTCTTGTATTCTAGATTCTGTGTACAAGGAGAGGTACATGTGTACTCCATCATCAGCTGATATATCCTTGTATTCTAGATTCTGTGTACACGGAGAGGTACATGTGTACACCGACATCAGCTGATAACTGGGAAGGGTACGACCAAGCGGATCTCACCAAGTAAGAAACTGATTTAATTATATAATTCTATTTGACATTTTTGGGTCTGTGCCTCCGTGGAAACGTTCATTTTTTAATACTCAATCTTGAAATAAATATAATATTTGCATATTTGAATAATTATTTTATAGAGCCTATTTAAGAAAGTCACAGGAAAAAAAGGTTTCTTAAACAAAGCTTGTAATTAAAAACTTGGTTAAACAGTCCCAATTTCCTGAAGTCCTAGGATCAAAATGACTCTGGAAATTAAGTCCTGAGTCTTTTATTCCTTGGACTTTTTCCTAAAATAATATGGGGGCTGTCAATAAAGTCTCAGGAAATAAGATCACAGGAATTAAAGTCCTGAGGAAAAATATCCGAAGAAAAAGAAACCACGAATCAAAGTCCTAAGTCTTCTGAAAATGAGGTCATGTCTGAGACGTTTTCATAAAAAGGACTTTTCTTTTCTATGCATCTGCATATTAGATATTGCCAGGAGCGTTTTTAATATCATGGCATTTTTTCCATGGCTGTAAACATTCTTTGTTTCCGTGGATTTTCTACTGAGAGGACTTTATTTCCGGGACGTTTTTGTATAATTTAAAGGATTTTTTTTCCACAGGACTTTAGGACTTTATTTCCGAAAACCTTTTTTTTCAGAGAATTTTATTGGCGGTTACTGATTTCATAATAGTTGTACTTCTCTTACGATGTACGTTTTCTGGAACTAGTTTAACCCCTTCAGTCTTCATACGGACCCGGAGCTGATGTAACCAGTGTGAGCTCAATAGCTCAGAATAGGGATAGTTCCATTGATGTAACCCCTTCAGCACGGATTAACATAGCATAAATCTAGATTAACCCGGTGGGAGCGATCGACGCACCCCCCCCCCCTATTTTTTTGCCCTAGCACTCTTATTTTTGACACGATCGCCATGCAATTTTTTGACTTTTCATAAATAGAAATTTATTTGTAAAATTTTTTTTTAATGCATAGGGTAGGGTACAAGGCGGTAAAAAGTACGGTCGGTGTAAAGCTTTAGATCTAAAAACTATATTTTTAGAAAGGACCTGAAAAATGTATGTAGAAACATGTGTCCCACTTTGATATTTGTTTTAAACAAAAAAAATATTTTTACATTTGTTGACCCTTTTTTGGCATTTTTTGAACCCTCCTTCCCTAGCACCTAAACTATTGAAGTTATCGGCATAGTTTTTTTTTAAATTTATGAATAGAGAAATAGTTAAACTGATAAATGTTCAGAGTAGGCCAACTGTTGAACTAGACATACCTAGTTCAAATACTAGTTGAACTTGCTATTTATAAAATCACATTGAAGCTGTTGTGTTAGGTTAGACCCAGGTTATTTTCTCTCTGTTTTTCAAGAAAACATTGATCCAACCCTTCACGCAGGATTCTACTTTATTCTTTTCATTATCGTTTATTCTATTCTATTCTATTCTATATTATTCTTTTCTATTCTATTCTATTTTATTTTATTATATTCTATCATATTCTTTTCTATTCATTCTATCCTATTCTATTCTATTCTTAAAGAATGTGAGTTATTTAAAAGACATTAATGGCGTACTCTAGGGGTTAAATAGGCCTGGGTGGGGTTTACACATATTAATAATAAACAGATAAAATATGTCTCTTCATTTTTTGCCCTCATCAAAAGGCACCCATTACTTCTGTCATATATTATTAAACCGTTGTATTCCCATAGAAGTTGGGACCTTGAAAGTCTAAAGTTTGAAAATTATCATAATTGGCTGGTTTATAATATATAATAAGCAATCATATTGATTATTCATAACAGTTTCATTTAATGTCATATTTAACATATTTGAATAGATTAAACTTAGTTTTGATGGATTCAACACACACAATCTTAATGAAAAAAATGATTAGACTGATACAAATTTTAATATTATATTTACAATAACCTGTCCACACTTTTTTATTTTCTGCTTAATCCTCACTTTTTGGATATCCCTGCTGTGTTCCAACCAATGAGAGTTCTCGCATTGATTGTGCAAATAATTTCTCGGCTTCTAATTGGCGGTTCGGTTTCTGCAATGGACACCCACTTTAGACACATTCCTAGATATTAAAGGGACTGTAAAGGAAAATGAAAGGGGGTATAGGATAAAACCTAAAAATCTCAGGAGTTGAACAATGCATATGACATCTATGATCTATCTGATGTTCTTGTCTCGAGAAATTGACATAAAACTGTGTCAAAGGAATTGAGTTTTTGTCACAAACTCTGATTTTCTTATCCCTATATCTTTGCATTTCAATGTCAGAGATCTTAGATATTTCAAACTGTGAAATATTTTAGATCAAGTAATAATAGTTTGAAATATCAAAGGTTAACACCATCAGGTTGCAAAGATATAGCGATTTTAAAAATCAGAATTTGTGACTAAACCTCAATTCCTCGACTTAGGGTTTCCATTCGCAAAACTTTTGTGCAATTTTTGCGGAACGAAACGCAAAATTTTTCTTTCTTTGCGCATCACTTTTGCGCGAAAAAACAACAATTTGCGCAATCATTTGCAAAATTTATTTCGCGCAAATTTGCCCTATTCCGCTTTTGCGAAACTCAAGTTTTGCGCAATTCCGCAATTTCTTTTTTTAAATCTAAATATTTTGTAGCAGAGATTAAAATATTACATTTGTATGCAAGTTTACAACTTTCATAAATGGAAAAACTACATTATTTATTTTCTATATAAATGATTCATATGATAGGCACAGATTAGACTTTGAATGCCAATCACTTCCTTCAGAGTTGACATCACACCTCTGTTTCTTCTCCTTCTCCGGTTGACGGGTCGAGAAACTCTAGAAAATGAGAAAAATTCTTCTCAGGTTAAGCTTGATATCCAGTCCTAGGTCCACTCCTTCCCTATACAACTCCAAGAGTTTATGTGTAATTCTCATTATGTTTGTGTTTTAAACTCCCCGCCATAGCAACAGATGGGTCAGCTGGTATCAGGCTAGGAGAGAGAGAGTCACAGAGATGCTAGCAGGGTTAGGGGGAGACTGAAAAATTTCGTAAAAATCAAACGGTTGGTGACGGTGTGAGTTTCTTAGAATTCAATTCTGGAAAAATCTTGTTTTGGTCACTTTTACATAATTGACCAATGACAGTTAAGAAGAGTTCAAATCTCACAATTTTCTCGACAATTTTAGTTTTGGACATGCATATTTCCTAAAAGTGGATTCTTCAGGCATTGCATTATTTTATATGAGATTAAAAAGATTTCAGAAATTTGATTTAAAAAATTTAAGAATATAATTCATACTTGATTAGGCAATATTTTTAAGGGTCACTTGAAATTATTTAATAGGATTAAAATATTGCCAAGTTTCATGCACTCTCTGATTTCTATTTTATTGATTTTGGTCCCTTAATTTAAACTTTTTGTAACTGGAAGTAACCAATTGAGTGTAGTATAATCGTTATTACGTCACCGGGAACTTCAGCCAATGGCAGTGCAGTATACTGGTCACGAGATATATGTCTGTAACACGTGACAACAATATTGTACTGCTTAATAATATGAATTTTCGTTTAAAGATACACTTTTATATCAATTTCTCGAGACAGGGACATCAGATGGATGTATTATATGAATCGTTTAATGCATGAGATTCTCAGGTTTCATCCTAAACCCCCTTTCATATTTCCTTTACAGTTCCCTTAATGTAAGATGAAATTAATCTTTTAATTAGAAAAAAAATCGGATATTGCAAGCATTGATCTTGATATTCACAATTATAAAATATATTAGAAAATAATAATTTCATGTTTCTTCATACTTCTTTGTTTAACTTTTTGCTGATATGATTTATATTATTTAAGACTTTTTCATATTCTTGTCAGATCACGAAACGAATCATTTGGTCTTACAGCTTATTCAAACTTCTCTGAGCTCTAATATACTCTTCACATGATTTATATTTTCAATCAACAATATTTATTCATCAAAACATGTTATTTCCACTCAATATTTTTCTCAAACATGCTAATTTTTTCTCATTTTCTACCCCCCCCCCTTTTCCGATGATAAAAGAGCTTTTACATGAGGCAGCTGATTTATTAGCTATCTATCTATCTAGGGACATGAAGGACATGAAGGATGATCAGCTGTTGCTGGTACATGGAACAGCTGACGAAAATGTACAACTTGTACATACAATGCTTCTCACCAAGAAGTTAACATATTATGGAATAGTGTTTAATCAAATGGTAAATTATTTAGAATTTCGTCATAACTTACGTAATATAAAGACAACATTTTACAAAATCTTTCCAGACTGTGATTTGTTACAAACTCTATTTGATTTTTATCAATTTTTAATTTATATTAGGCTCATCTTCTATTTCGAATTTTAATTGTGGCTTTATATGTGAGCATTTTCTCTTTGTACATTAAAAAACAAAAACAAAAAAACGTTTGCCGATTTCACAATATTTTTTCACGACTTCTAAAATTTTACAAAATAAATAACGTTTAAACACAAAAATTTTAATTTGTGATCATTCATAAACCTCCTCTGGGGTCACGTAAGGTCCCACACAACATTTGGGCCCGATCGGTTCAGCCGTTTTAATGTTTTTTGGATACAAACAAGCAAAAACACAAACAAACACCATAACACCCAGACAGATAGACAATATAGATTGTATGAATAAAGATAAAAGGAGAACTGTTCGATCCCAGATCTGTTAAATCCACTTCAAAACTTTGTGAGTCAGGAATTTAATTAAATAAATTTCTGAGATTTTTAGTCTTTAAAGGTCAGATTTCACTAAATTTTCAAAATTATCAAAATTAAACCCTTGCATTAGTACCTTGCCTATTAGGGGCTGGTTCATTTGTGTGTAGTCCCGTTTTGCCTGGTATCAAGGTACTAATAAAATTGGAAAGTTATTTGCGGTCGCGTATACTCTGCGTACATATTGAAACCAGTTCTCTCTGGGCGGAATTTGTAAACAAGAATAGATGCATCAGTGTTCGTTTTGGATCCTAGGAGGATGAAAGCATTTAATTTTGATAATTTTGAAAATTTTCATAATAGTTTCCTATGACCAGAATAATTCATAGATTATTTTTGTGAAAATTGATTCCATGTCAGGCTGTGACACCCGTCTTGTGCAGTACAAAAAATGCGTACATCTTTGAAATAACTTTCCTTGCATTAGTACCTTGACAGGTATAATGTGTATGCGTACTGTACGTACAGCTCGCTCTAGCTGGTTAGATCTTGAAATGAACCGGAAATGAACAGTGAGAAGAAGATGACCCATTTGGTGTATTGTACCGTTTTGCCGTCTATAGTCTGTATCTGTACTGTACAACTGTATCTGTACTGTACAACTGTATCTGTACTGTACAACTGTATCTGTACTGTACAACTGTATCTGTACTGTACAACTTGCCTGAAAATCAGTTCCGTAATTCAACTGAACCAGAGTTTTCAATGAAAAGTACAAAATAATCTGCAATTAGAAATGTAATCATATTGATCTCACACTTTGTGTACTGTCATGTTTTACCAAAGAGAATAGAATATGTTAGAGTGGAATTTAGCAAATCTCTCGGTATGAATTTTGTTTGTCCCTTTCGGCATAGACGCATAGAGTCTATGTGAAATGATCATTGGTCAATTATGAAACCAGCCTATTTCATAATTTGGTTTTCTTTTAATATTAATTTTAGATTTTCTATAAAATGATGTTCCAGGGCCCAAAAGGTTATATAGCACAAATATGTGAAGTACACCTGCAGTATGGAAACAGTACAACAAAAATGGCCGTTTTACACTTTTTTTCTAGTAAATTCCTCTCTAATATATTTTCTATTCTCATTGTGTACTGTCCTATTTAACCATCTATAAGTCTGCATGTTTACTGTACAGCTTGTCTGAAAATAAGGCCGGTTCCTCAAATGAACCAGATGTTCAGTGAAATTTTAACAGAAAAATGCACAAATCAAAGTATTTTATTCCAGTACTTTCATCTTAAAAAGAATATATCTGGCTTTTGACTTTTTATCGCTCGCTTGAAATGTTTTCACAATGGAAACCATATTCTTGTTAGTGATGCTTAAATTGGCAATATAATCCCTGTGAAGAAGAATAAATCCTATGTTAAATCATTCGAAATAATCTAAACCTTGGCTCTTTGGGAAACCCCCATATTGAGATAAACCTTTTATATTAGAAAAATTGTTTTGCTAACTTTTTCGCATAAATATTTGCAAAATTTCGTTTCCAAACTAAATTTTTATATTTAAGTTACAAAAAATCTTTAAACAGTGTCCGAATTTAATGAATTTGAGCCGCGTCTTAAATCCGCCTAAAACCGGTTTCAATTGAGCACCGGCTTAAATCTTAAAACATTGAATACAATTTTAAGTGAAACCTACCATATTTGAGCCGCGGCTTAAATTTAAGCCGCCGCTCAACTTTAAATTCGGCCTCAGGTTAGAAAAAATTTGCAAAAATGTTAAAAATGTCTGAAAATGACAATTTTTAAAACCAGGCTAAGAATATTGTCGTGGTTTCAATGAGATATTAATCAAAATTTGAGGCAAAGTTCCTGAGTTATGATCGGACATACGTAAACAAACAAACAGACAAACTGAGATTTTCATATAGAAAATAACATGTAATTGAAACTACAACAAAAAACATATTTGTCCATCTTAATAATACAATTTATGGCATCATTTATAACTTTTTATTTGGTTTTAAGAAAAAATTGAATATTGACATTATCAATCATTTAAGCAAGAATATGACAAAAGTACATATGTAAATTTTAAGAAAATGGTGAAAATTTACATTTTCATGAATTTAGAATAAATGTACAGGGTTTTTAGCACGTTACGTCGAGCAGGTCAGTCAACGAGATGTACAAATTGAGATCTTTCTAAATTTGTCTTTCTCATGGTGTATTTAGAATAACCCCCCGGAAAGGAATGATTTTTAAGATTTATTAATTTCCGAAATTCAGTGAAAAACCTTTAAAAAGTACTGGGGTTTAAAAAAAATTCAAAGCGGGGGGGGGGGGAAATGATTTTCAAAGAAAATATTCACCCTTGTGTCAGTCTCATCTTTTCTGAAATACCTTCTACATATTTTCTTAAATTTATTCTTCGTAAAGGTTTATTATTCCACTTTGAAGAATATTTGCATATATCTCTGCAAATTATTTCTGCGCCAAAATTCTAAGTTCAAAGTTTGAACTTTCAAATTTCTATTTAGGACAAATTAAACATTAAACCACGAACTCTAGTTTCTTGATGGGATATGGGATATCTAGTTTATCTTGATGAAAACCATGTTTAAATATATTTTGATGGGATATGTTTAGATATATATCCTGATGAGAACCATGTTTAGATATATCGAGATGGGAACCATGTTTAGATATATCCTAATGGGACCCATTTTTAGATATATCCTGATGGGAACCATGTTTAGATATATCCTGATGAGAACCATATTTAGATATATCCTGATGGGAACCATGTTTAGATATATCCTGATGGGAACTTTGCTAAGATATTTCCTGATGGGGAACCATGTTTAGATATATCCTTATGGAAACCTTGATTAGATATATCCTAATAGGAACCATGTTTAGATATATCCTGATGAGAACCATGGACTGGTTGGCGTGCTACCCCACCTATTCTCCTTGATGGAGGATTTCCTGCTGTCCACCCTGGGCAACTCTACCATCGTCTTCCCTGAGGACGTGACCTACACACTCTCTGATATGTTAACAAACTAGATTCATACTTTCCTTCTACACCTTGTCAAATTTAACTCTGGAATAGGAACACAGACTAGATATATACAGACTCCAAATCAACTTTCACGGGATGGGCGGGCCAAGCTGGCCTACAATCGAACCGGCACAACATGCTATATTCTTTAAGGTTATTGGCTGCCATCTAACTGCCACTTGTAGCATATAATAAACTTTCAAGGGTTAAGGTTTACAATTTAAAAGAAATACTCTTTTTACCATTAAACATACAATTTATAAATTTAATGTATTTTTAAAGGTTTTGTATTTAGTATCCAAAGAATCCTTAAATATCTCTAAAATACAGATGTCTGTTTATTGGTCGTGTACTCCAGTAGGAACATGTTGTGGAAAATATCGCATATTCTAGCCTTCAATAGATCTCTGTATTCTCATATCTCTAGGGATAGGCATTATAAATGAACAATTGTGCACTGTACACTGCATATACAGACCCATTTCACTTAAAGGGACTGTAAGCATAATTTCAAGTGATCCTCCATTCAAAAATGGCAATGCCCGTTTCACATTTGTGCCCTGAAACCTTTATGTAAATCGGACATTGCAATCTTTGCATGAAGGATCACTTGAAATTACGCTTACAGTCCCCTTAATAACTTGATTTTAAACCTATTTGTAAAATTATTTGCTTTATAACAACATTAAACACAAATAAGATACTTAAATACTTTAATATCGTCTTCCCATCCCAGAGTTTTTTTGGGCTTACTTTGTTCTCTAGTCCATTTGTTCTTGTTTAAAAAGTGCATTTTTATTCAATTTTATGATAAAATATGTTTATTCTATTTTATGATAAAATATGTTTATCAAAATTGAATTTTCCTCGTCTTTCTAGGTTCACAGTACATATCTTTCTGAGGTGAAAAAAATGTTATTTGCAATTTTAAAAAAAACATAGAATTGGTATTTAAAGGGATTGCATTCTTAATACAAATGACCCTCCATGTCCGATTTACAACGATACCCTTTAAACCTATATTTAATCATTTTAGTTTCTAGCTTGAAAAGTGTTTAATTCTTAAAATTCCTCCCATTGTTTCTGTAAGATATATGTGCAAGTCACTTTTGTAGAGAAACCTCAATCGACAAAAATAACTTTTAAAGAGTTAAACATGGATATCTAATTTTTTCTAGACCGGACAAAAATTGAAAAGTTATCACTGTGAATCGGGTGTGCCACTTTATAATTGGAGAGCCACTTCAAACTATGACTACAGTCCCTAGCTGTAAGCTCCCTGTATTGTAGTTTAAACTATTCACCGTGAAACCAAAACCTTTAGAACTTTCTGATGAAACCGATGAAATTTGTGGACATTGTTAACCATCAAAGATTATATATCCAAGATAATGCAATCTCATAAAACGGGGGAATTTCTGTCTTTTCAACAATGGAGACAAAAATTAAGGTTTATAGAAGTACATTCATAAAGTGAGTTTAGTACAAACTTAAAGGGAGTGTTCGCAAAAAAATGAAAGGGGGTATAGAGACTTCCGGCGAAAAATTATCTCTTTTGACTAATCAATAACTTCTATTTGTTGCGTTTTAAAGGGAGAACATTTTTTTAAAACGACTTATACTGGAGAACGTAGCGTCCATACAAATTCAGAAAGTTGCAATATACGACTCATATCGTAAAATAATTAATTTAATTTCAAACAAATCATTAAGATATTACAACCTAAGGTAATCGATTATTTTTCGATGCATTCCTATGAAGTTAATTTTTCATAATATTGTTGTTTGTTTTATGTACATTGCACTTAAAACGACTTTTATATCCGCTAGGTGTCTCTGCCACGTGTAATCATTCAAAGCATCGAGAGCTGAGACATCTGGCGGCCAACTATTTCAGCGTTTTAAGTGCATTGTATACTAAGAAATATCAAATATTAACTATTTACGAATGCGTCGAAAAATGATCTATGACTGTATGGGTTGTAATATCTGAATGAATTGTTTGAAATTAAATTGATTTTTTACGATACAAGTCGTATATTGCAACTTTCTGGATTTATATGGACGCTAAGTTCTTCAGTGTAAGTTGTTTTTAACAATTTTCTAATTATAGACGCAACAGATAGAACTTAGAAGTAAAATTAGTAATGATCAAAACCGTTTTTTTTCGCCGTAAGCCTATATACCCCCTTTCATTTTTCGCGAACACTAACCATTATTGTACATTTTGTCTTTATAAAAAAACTATTTATTTCATTTTAATAATTATATGAAGACATGCCTACAACAAATATTGTGGTTTTAATCTAAACTGAAATGAAAAATTAAATAGCTCTAGAACTAATGTTCTCCGGTTTTACCTGAAATGTTTACTGATCTTATTGTTTTATTATTTAATTAAGTTTGCATTTGTGGATTAAAAAATCCAATTAGCCCTTTTTTCTAAAACTTTTGGGGTTGGAGAATCGATGCAGTAAGATCGATAATTAATAATGATCCTAAATTCACAAAGATTAAAGGCCTAAGGTGGAAAATTTTGTATCTTAAAGGGACTGTTTAGGAAAAATTAAAGTGGGTATAGGCTAAAACCTTAGCACTTCAGAAGATGATAGCGACCTATATGAGTTCTATCTGGGGCTGGGTGTTAACGATTGTTCTTTTAGGAGAACCAACTGAACTATCAAGAGCGATTCCATTGTTCAGAAAAAAGAACAAACGCAAAATCAGGAATGCATTCTTATTGTCAAGAACGTGTTATAAGTCGGGAACGCATTTTAAATCAGAAATTTGTTCTAAATTATCTAGAAATTTTTAAAAGTTCTTTTAAATTCGATCACCTGACCCCCCCCCCTCACTCTAAATCTCCCCCTTCCCCCGCCTTCCTCTCCCGTGAGGGAGGGCAGTGTTAGGTTGAAGAAATTGTTTTCTATAATTCATTCATATATCTTTTTATTATTATTGAAATATTAATCTACGAATTGTACACCTCCTTTTCAAGGATTGGGGGATGGAAACGTTCTTGACTAAGAACATCAAGAGCGGATTGGAACGGAAAGAAACGAGAACGGAAGGATTGGAAAAAAAGGAACTAGAACGGAACGAGTCTAGCTGAAGGCCCACGTTCTAGAACAGAACAGAACGATTTTTAAAAAGTCGTAACATGCCCAGCCTTAGTTCTATCTGATGTCCCTGTCTCGACTAATTGATAAAGAAAGCTGTGTCAACGTTATACCAAAAGATATATATATATATAATACCAAACTATTCCAGATTCCCCCGATTTAAAGAGTTAACCCCTTACTTCAAAAGTTTTTGCAGAGAATATTGAGTCCAGCTAAGCGCAATAAAGTACAAACGCCAGCCCTAAAAAAATGTTGCAAACTTTTATGTCTGTTCATTTTTAGTCCTGTGATACTGATTTGGCTGTGATATTTTAAGTTTAATATTTGATTTGAAAATTTATCAGTATCTATCAAATTTACAATATTTTATTTTATAAATCATTACTTTGATCAATTATTTTACGTGGTTCACAGGGGACTAAAGAGGCTTAATCATCTTAGAACGGTACTTTTGGCCTATAAAAAGTGCAGTTAAAAGATTTAATGCATTTTAGTTCAAGATTCATAACCCTTTAATATTATAAAAGGATAAACTTGTAAATACTATTTTACTTATCTCTAAGCTATCTGATCCGAATATTTTAATTTCAACTATAGGTCTATATAGACTAAAATTCAATTAAAACTAAAATATTTTTTTTCGAATTCAGAAAGATGTGTTAAACTTATGTCAAAATATTCCCCGTAAATCCCTATTTTATCAGCTAAAGTATCAATACAGGTTTATATGTATGGCTAAATAGTGCAGGGACTTTCTATCTATTTAATTTTTTATCTTTAAGGTCTGAATAGAGAGAAATTTTAAAATGTTCAATTTTCTTTGAATATAGTTGGTTTAAAATTTAAATAATATATTCATAACAAACATGAAGATTCAAAAAGTGTAGTAATTGTTGCTTGATTCAGAACCTCTTGTTTAATGATGTGAACAACAGTTTATGAAAAATTGTTCAGCTAAGCAGCGTAATAAGTTACAATTTACAAACAACGTATGTAATTTGTGCTTTACGTAATTTACGAACATATATTAATATTTAATTTACGAACAGTGTACACGTATGATCATTTTACGTAATTTACTATCAGTGTACGTAAGAATAGTGTACGAAATTCAAGAACAGTGTATGAAATTCACGAGCGGTCTACGTAATTTACAAACAGTGTACGTAATTTACGAACAATATACATGCTTCACGCAAAGTACAGTATTTTACTAACATAGTAATTATTTGCAAAGGGTGACAAAATGGATTGTAATTTTAAATTACAAATCGTTTTATTAGTGTATTTTAAGTATTCTAAGCTCTGGTTTCTATTTCTAATTTCTTATTCTAATTTTTACTTTGTTATTTAGCAGAAGTCAAAGTTTAAAATATTCAAATGTGTCCGACATCAGGTTGCACAGATTAGTGATTAGAATGTTTGAGTTTTAGGCCAGGGGTTCCATGAAAATCTTCTCTTTCCTTAAAAAGGAGTGACCAGCAATGTGTGGTACAGTTGAACTGAGCATCTAGTATATTGTGGAGAAATTTTTTATGAATCATTAGAGACCTATGAGACGTTTTAACGGTGCATATTTGTTCTGCAAGAGCGCAAATTCAATCTTTAAAATCATCATAGATTGTTCATTTTTAAGGAATGATTTCGAGAATCGGTTAAAAAAAATTATTTAATGACGCCGACGAAAAATGTAATAAAAATTCTACAGTAAACTAAATAGATGTTCAGAAACAGGTTAAGAGAATAAAAATAAGTAATCTTATTCAGTTATTGGTTTCTGTAATGTCTCATTGTTCAAAAACATTTTCTGTAGATTTCCTGGATTTTTTTTTAAAAGAAGTTTGTTTGTCTCCAGGACATGATCGGGTTGTTACGATCAAATCTCGGAATTTTTCTATTGCGAAAGTTTGGTTTTGAGTTTATTTTGATCTACCAGGGGTTGTAATCTGGCAGCACATTCATCCCACTCTAGTATGCCGAGTCCATTAGCATCTGATCCAATCAGGGTTCAGCCATGTGTTTGGTGTCTATTTTGAACCAATAGAAATTGCAATGCGGTAACATTTATCCAATTAGAGATAAATCCTTATATCGGCGCTATAACAGTAAATGGAAATATTTACTTATACTGAAACTATAGTG